GAGTCTTCAGACTGGCAGCACTGTCAGTGCTCTCTCTCTCTCTCTCTCTCTCTCTCTCTCTCTCTCTCTCTCTCTCTCTCTCTCTCTCTCTCTCGGCAACGGGCAGCAGCGGTGGGCGGCACGTCAAAACGGCCGCCTTGAAAATGCTCGGGCCTGTTTGAAACCCGCCACCCCAAAAACCTGCAGTGTCTTGCGTCCGGACCTCTAGGCACTGTCCGGTGGGGTGAAAGGACACTGAAAAATCACCCCATTATTTTTCAAGGGCCAGGACCCGAAAAACGTCCTGGGCCGCCCCTTTATTTTTTTCGATTTTTGCCCTGGGGGCCTTCATCCAGACATAAGGACCGGACACCGGACCCGGACATGTTGTTCCGGACTGTCTAGAACCCGGTCCGGACGTCCGGTCCGTTACCATGCTTCAGTGCCTTCTGTTTTTCTTTTTTTTTTTGCCATTCAGCGCACTCACTGGTTCTTAACTTGGTTGATTGTTTTCATGGTACCAGGGATTTGGGTCTTGCCAGGAACTTTCTAATAAGAAATGGTGGGGATGCTGTATTTTCAATTTTTCACAGGAATTGGATCTCGGGTCCGACTGGAACGTTTGGAAGATACGACGGACAACGGATTGAAGCACTGCCTGTGGTTCCAGTGTAATGGTTGCGTGATGTAATCCTGTGCTGCCACAAGATGTAAAGCCAGTGCACGTTGAGTATCTCATTCTTCTCCTTTTCTTTTTGTATGTGTGTGAAGGGGGGCATGGGAAAGCAGTGGGAATAAATTCACTTTTTTTAATGGGGAGGTTGCTCCTTACCCATCTTGAAGTAGAAATGCATGGCCGCAGAAGAAATGTTTGACAGGTGCTCAGGCAGAACTGAAAATTTATGATATCCGTCCGGCAATGACCGGGCCCGAAACACATACTCTCCAGGGGAGGAAAAGACAGGACAGGGACTCCAATCACGTCCGTAGTTCTGCCAAAGATGCATATCAGCAGCCATCTCCTGTAGGGTCCTTGTGGCTGACAAGTGCAAACCATCATCCTCAAAACCAGACGCCAGCACTTTATGTCGACATAAGTAATTTACACCTTCCACTGCTCTCCATGCCACAGTTATCCCCTCGTTGTATGGAGTATATGCGACCATCCGTTCCATGTGGTCCATGCGGAAGATGGGCATGTAGTCCTCCGGCTTCACCCATCTTATCCCTGCTTCGCATCAGTATGCCGCAAACAACAAATGAAACGTCACTTAGCATGGCGATACGAACAACAGAAGGACGAGAAAGGTAGGTAGGTAGGTAGGTAGGTAGGTAGGAAGTGAGAGATTGGTTCAAAAACAAGGGATAAAGTAAGACGAAGCTGGTGAGGGAGGCACTTACTAACTTTAAGTCTCAGACAAATGTGAATAGCGAAGGCCCAGAATAAAAAAAAGGTCCTACGAGGGTGCAACCAGTGTCTATGGCATGAGTAGGAAAACTAAATCAATAGGTTGCATGCATGACGGAGAATTTTACTTCTTTTCTCTCCTCCATCTGCTGCATGCTTAAAGAACGCTCTCGCTGTAAATGGGTAAGTGCTGATTTTCAGGATGGTGCCACAGCCATTTTCTTGGATCTAGAGCGGAGAGGAAGGTTGCTTCTCTCAGAGAGCAGGCTAGGCAAGGGCAAAGAAAGCAGGGGTGGAGCAGCAGCCCATCCTTTCCGATACTCTATGCTGCTGGAGCCTCAGGGTCCCTTGACCATAACGAAGGGAAGCGTTGAGTGCGTATCGGATGCAAGGGACACTGGACCTGTTTTCCAGTATTATGAAGCAGCTGCTAACCTACCCTCCTCTACCATACATGAGGTCATAATCCTCTCCTTCCCCTAACTTACTATCTTCTCTGCTGATAAATACCCCCTATCCTATCCCCTCCCCTGACTCTATTCCCTCCTCCGCCCCCCTTGTGGACCAACATCTATGTTCTCCTCTATGGTTCTCTCCTCCCTCTGTCCTAAACTTTCCTTTCTCCCCTAATGTTGTCCCCCGAACCCGTATCCTATATTCCTTGAACCCTACAACCCCCTTCACTTATCCTTCCTTGCCTTGCCTCACTTTAATTCTTATGGCAGCCTAAGTTCCTGTGTCAACAGCTGATCATCTATAGTCTCCTCCCGGCTCTCGTCTTTGAACCGAGGGAAGATAAGTCTCTCTCCTTCTACGGTCGCGACTTTGCCTTGGGCTAGTACCCTTTTCTGGAATTTGGTTAAAGTATCCTTTGCCCTTTCTGGTTTAAGAGCCACTTGCTTCTTTGTCCTTCTCCATAAAGCCCTAATCTCTGTCTTCAACAGGCTATAGAGAATTGCCTTGGTACCATTGCATGTTTTTCCTATGTATGCTGCATGTTTACAATGTGGTACACTGAGAGGAATAGGTCAGCGCTATTTTCTTTTTTGAGGGGCATTAGATGCTAATGGAGGGGCATGGGCATATGCATGGACTTGTACAGCAGTCAGTCGTCCCAAATGAGAGTAATGAATGCTGTTGGTGGTGACTCTGGCAGTAATGAGGGTAAGCGTACTGTGGGTCCCTTGCAATTTTGCTGACTTGCCAGTGGAACAGGAACCGGACTGCAGCTCCCCAGCATAGAAAGGAGCCAGGACAATAAGGACCCGTGTTTTCGAGAAAAAGAACAACAAACAAGGAAAGGAATGTTCTGGTCATCTTGATGGGCATGGAATGAAATTAGTAGATTACTTATGTGACCAAGGTTTTCTGGGAGGTGGTGGAATCCTTTCAGAGTCAACGGTATGAGTTTGACAGGATCTCCCTTGGCAGTAAGCTGGTACCGCATTCCATGCCACTCCTCTCAGGCAACCCGGGTTTGGTCAAATAACTACCGTCTTCACCTTAATAGAACGCCCGTTGCCCAGTCATTATCTCTGCATTAGACTGAAAGTTGCACCAAATACAGCTGTAAGCCTATAATGGCTGGGTGTTCTTTTTTTTTGCGCAGGGGTCATGTTGATCTTCTCTGTATCATTCTAATTTTAAAGAACGTCCCGAAGGACGTTGGCTGTGCGTTCTTTTTTTTTTTTTTTTTTCAAACAGAACCTTACGGATCTGGCTCCTTTTCCATTCTGGGGAGCATCAGTCCGGTTCCTATTCCACCGGCAAGTCAGAAAGGATTACTCAAAAGGATGGCTGTGCGCTTTTTTTTTTTTTTTTTTTTTTTTTTTTTTTTTTTTTTTTTTTTTTTCCAAACAGGTCCTTATGGCCCTGGCTCCATATTCCACCGGCAAGTCAGAATAAAATATTACATCATGAAACCCACTCACGCTTCCTTCCATCTGGCCAAAGGAACCCTGACCAACATTGATTGCTCCAACATCATGGAGGATTGATTGCCAGCTTGCCTTACTTACACCTTTCCTCTCAGGTCCCCTGCATGAACCTGTCAGATATAAAAGATAAAGGGCAAGAAAGGTAAAAGAAGCTGCAGAGAACGCAATCTCGGAATTGCCCTGCAATACTACATGGCCTGTGATGGATCTTGTCCATCTGCTGGCTGGGATCTCTGCGTTCTCCACCTGGCTTCTGAGTTGTACCAGTCTTTCCACCATATGCAAAAGTCATTTATGACAGCTACTTTGCCCCCTGCAAGCCACGCCTTGGTGAAATTCGCCTTAATTCTTCTCTGGTGCTCTTCGCCATCTGGCATTGAGTGTCCCGTCTTATGCCACTTACAAAGAATCTCAGCGTGAATCAAGGTCCTTGTCTCCACCCATACCTTCTCCCTTGGAGTTAAGGGACCCTCGATGGTTCTACAGCACCTTTCCTTCCAGATGGACCACAGCGTTACCTTTCTGATCATTCCGAACCACGTTCTCTCTGTCTTGTGGGATTGAGCTGGGATGTTAGTCCATAGAAGGAGTTGGATGGGGTGTTCAGGGAGGGGAGTCAAGAAGAGGGAGTCCCAGAGATCTGAGGCTCTCGCCCAATATTCTGTTGCCTCTCTACAGCGTATCAAGCAGTGTATAATATCTTTTGGTTCATTTTCTGAACATACCGCACATAAATCTGAACTGCTCGGGTCATTCTTACTTCTTCTGATATGCAGCCACTGGTTAACCGGTAGAGTCACGTATCGGATGAGCCATTGGAGGCTTCTGGTTTTGACCGGTCGGATTGACTTGAAAATTTTCCATGGTATTTGTGGGATCTACCTAGCGTCCTGACCTATTAACTTCTGCCATCTGTTCTTGATCGTTGGGTCAGGATCCTTTGTTTTGAGGAGTAAGCTGTATCCCAGTTTGACTGTGTATTTCTGGATGGGGACATTCATTTTGAGATTTATGCTTCTGTCTGGTGTCCAAGCCCACTCTGGATCAAATTCCAAGTCTTGAATCGCTGTATCTCTTCTCAATATTGGTTTTGGCCATGATCCCAACACTCTTACTTTTCTGAGTACAAAAGGGTTTAGGACTACTCTTTCTACCTCCTTATTCAGGATAGATGGGAGGCCTTGCGCGGAAGGGGTAATTGGGAAAGAGGTAAACACTGCCAGCGCATCCGACCCTTGCTGTTTATGGGAAAATTGGTAGGCCCTTGAGGGGTTAAATCCTGCACCCTCACTCCCCATTCGCCCGATTTCCAAGTTGAGGTTACGCTCAACGGTTTTGTCTTCAAGATTGTGTTTTCGGTATTTAGTTCGTACTGCATCGATTTTGTTTGAACGGCGTCGATTTGGTTCTGTCGTTAGCTGCAGCGTCCAGACAATCTTAGGTTAGATACAGGCAGGTCCGGAAGGCATACGCCTTTATTTTTATTTTTATTTTATTTTTAATTTTAACGGCTTTTGCTTCGAGATACCGCGGCCTGTTCCGGGATACCGCGGCTAGATTTTGTCGGGTGGTTCATTGGAAAGCTTGAAAGGCATGTGCCTTTATCTATGCCATTTTATTTTATTCAGTGCTAAATTCCCAGTCCGACCGGGGGGTCCACCCCCAACCGGAACCGGGCCGGTGGGACCGGCCGGTCGACCGGTCCGGTTCCCCCCTGGCGGCCTACAGCGCATTGGAGCGGAAGGCCCGAATCAAATTTTTTTTGGGCCAGGAGGCCCCCACGCGGGTTGTGGGGGCCTCCTGGCCCAAAAAAAAATCGAACCGGGTGGCGCAGGCCTCCCTTTTTGCTTCCAAAGCAGCGGCCTCTCCGGACCGCTGATCGAGGCAGATCGGCGGCCCAGATGAGGCTGCCGTTTTGAAATTTGGAGGGAGGCGGTAGTCCTCCGTTTCCCGCCTTTGCCCGTCGGCCTCCCCCACTTGCAGTTTCCCGTGGCCTCGCCGTCGTCGACCGTGCCGAATGCATCCCCGTCGCCGTCCTCCTCGTCGTCCGTGGCCGTCGCCACCACCTCCCGTGGTGCGTCGCCCGTCGCCGTCCGTGGCCCGCAGCGCCCCCCGTCGCACAGGTAAGTGGCCATCTTCTTCTTCTTCTTCTTCTTCTTCTTCTTCTTCTTCCTTTCTTCTTCTTCTTCTTCTTCTTCTTCTTCTTCTTCTTCTTCTTCGTCTTCTTCTTC